ACGTCATCAGCCTGTTCAAAGTGCAGTGTTCTTAGTGGGGACAAAATCCAGAGGTTGCTGCTTAAACACTGTGCCCAAGCCTGAAGAGCCTCTTTTCATACTGTTTCTAAAAATGGCCTTTCCCAAAACAGATGTTGGCAGCAAAATTCCCAGTTAGGTCTGTGAATACACCCCCCATCCACTGAATCCCTGTGCACCATTGTGCTCTGAATAAGCACTGGCAAAATGAGTTAATTAATTAAGAAACCTCCAGCTCTGACCAAGCAGGAGGAGTTTGCTGGCATGGATAGATTGCTGCCCTTGGCAGACACGGACACTGTTGGAGGAACATGTCAGTGCAATCCCATGGTAGGAAAGATCACTGAGCTGCTGGATAACTGAGTTCATCGTGGTCTTGTGGAAAAAGGGAAGTAACTGGGAAACAGCCTTCCAGCATATGGCTTTCTGGAGAGTCTCCAGGGTTTTTGCCTCATCTGTGGGATAAACTGCACGCCTAGCTGATCTGTATTTATGATAAATAAACACTTATTTTCCAGACCCTCTCCACTTCTCCCTTCCCATTACATTGTTGGTCTTTGTGTCCTCCAGCTGGTGATTTGTTGGTTCTTCTCTCTTCAGATGCTGTTTGGTTCTTCAGGGCATCAAGCACTGGACAGTGGTGGGAAGAGAGGGCTGTGAAAACAACAGCAGTAGCAGGAAGTGTGGAGGGAAAGCAGGAGAATCTGTAGCTATGAACCCTGTCAGCCTTGTCTTTGGAAATGGAATTTGCCCCTTTGAATCATTTCTAAGGAGCAGTGGCTGTTCAGACAGAAATGCCACACTAGATTCCCTCTCTGTGTCTGGTTTACACCATGCAAACTGGTTTATAAGAATCCTTTCTCCTGCTCAGTGGGGCTCTGAGCAGCCCTGATATTTGTTTAGCTTATCTTTAAATTGCCAGATAAAGATGCAGGAACTGGATTTGGTTAACTGTTTGGATGCTGTGCTGGACAGGACAGCCTCCAGCTCTTGAAGCTACAGGAAGTCTGGCTGTGCTCAGAGGAGTTAAAAAGGTGAGCACAGGTGAGCATTTGAGAAGTTTTATCAACATCACCTAAAATTTCATTTTTGTTCAGATGCAGAAGAGGAACTAACGTGACAGTTTAGATGGTCTTGAGAAGAACAAGGAGCCACCTCCTACATCCCTGCTAATGTATCATCAAGAATGGTGTGGCAGCAGGACAAGGGCAGTGCCTGTCTCCCTGTGCTGGGCACTGCTGAGGCCTCACCTCGAATCCTGAGGTCAGTTTTGGGCCCCTCAAAACAAGAGAGACATTGAAGGGCTGGAGCAGGTCCAGAGAGGGAACGGAGCTGGGGAAGGGGCTGGAGCAGCAGGAGCAGCTGAGGGAGCTGGGGGGGCTCATCCTGGAGAAAAGGAGGCTCAGGGGGGACCTTCTGGCTCTGCAACCCCCTGACAGGAGGGGGGAGCTGGGGGGGGTGTCGGGGTCTGCTCCCAGAGAACAAGGGACAGGACAAGAGCAAACAGCCTCAAGTTGTGCCAGGGGAGGTTTAGGTTGGATACTGGGGGAATTTCTTCACTGACAGGGTGGTCAGGCACTGGCACAGGTGCCCAGGGCAGAGGTGGAGTCCCCATCCCTCGAGGGATTCCAAAGCCATGTGAATATGGCACCTGGGGACATGGGTTAGTGATGGCTGTGGCAGTGCTGGGTTCACAGTTGACCTCGAGGATCTTTGAGGGCTTTTCCAACCTAAACAATCCTGTGATTCTAACACAGACTGAAGGAATTTCAACCTTTGGTGATTCCTAAGCAGCACAGCAGGTGAGAGTGGTATCCTGCAAGCTGCTCACCTGTTAAAGTGCCTAAAAATAGCAGCTGTTGATACAGTGCCTGAGCTGGATGCTGGTTTGTAACCTTTGCTGCAGTGAGAAGCAGAGTGTGCTTGGTTGTGAGATGGTCATAAACTGATACATCTTTAACCTCCCCATCCTGGGAATCCTCCAGGAATTCCAGCAGCCCTCCAGGTGCTAATTTTTTTGCCATGAGAGATTTGTGATTAAAATATCAAATAAGATTTCTGTTCCTGGAGTGCACACCTGCCCTGTGTCCCTGTGCCCATCAGACACGGTGAGAGGTGGTGATGGTCCTGGGGTACAAGAAGGAGCAGTAGCAGCAGGATAAGGAGGATGCTTTGGCCCAAATCTCATACACACTTTATCACACTGCTTTGTCTAAGCTTCATCACTGCACACACCAGCAGGCTCTGGGTCTTCACCTCAGGCTCAGCCTTCCCTTTTGTTCTGCAAAGACTTGCAGGGAGGGCTGGTGTGAGGATGATGAGCCTGGCTGACAGAGCAGATCCTAGTGGGAAAGGGGGATGTACTGAAGTGCTGATAGGAACACAGGTGGAAGCTGGTCTTCTGTGATGACTCTGTGTCTGAAAGGGCAACAGAGGCTCTTTGGGGAAAAAAGCAGTGAAAAGGATGAGTTATTCCAAACGATGGCAAAAGGGAGGTGCAGGAAGCTCACTAGAACCTGGGTTTTCACTTTCTGCACAACCTCAAAATATGCTGTGCAAGCAGAGGAGGCTTGTATGGATCTTGCATCAGAACTGCAGCACTGTTTGTGGTGGTGAAGCTGCAGCTGTGCTCTCCCAGCTCCTGGTCTCTCCCAGCTCCCGTGGTCTCCACTTGGACATTACCTTACTCATCCTCAGAGGTGTTGTATCACCAAGCAGTTTCCATCTGGCCTGTGCTCTTCCTGCAGCCAGAGTGCCCCTGGTGTCTGCGGCATATTGTGGTGAACCCAGAGAATGCAGCATGTGGGAATGGTGCTGGGAAGAGCCCAGAATGGGCTGGTTGTGTCCTTCAGCATTTGCTCTACCGGGAAGGGAATTAGGGATCTCCAACTTGGAGGAATCTCACGGAGCTTGTTTCATGTCCTGGCTGTAAAGCAATGCTGAACCCTGCCTGGTGTAGAAAACGGATCTATTGGGTTTGGTTTATACTGGGATCTTATTAACTGCTGCCCGACTCCTTTTCTTGTGGTTGGTTTTTGGGGTTTGGGGGATTTTTTTGTTCATTTTTCTACAAATTAAACCTTGTGTGCTGACAAACTTGGTGATAAACAGCGTGGCCTCCTCTCCTGGTCTGCCCAGGCTCATCAGCTGTGGAGTCAAACCTATATCCTCCAGGGCAGAAGATGGAAAATATTCAACAGGCAGTGAAACCAGTTTGAAAGGACATTCCAGAGACCTCGTGCTTTTAAACTTGGACAGAATCCCTCTCACGTCTGGCTTGGGACCTTGAAACTGGACTGGCCATAAAGTGGTTCACGGGGCCAGACTGAAAACAGTTTTCTCTCGTCCAGACTTCCTGCTGAGACCATCGAGAGTGTCTTGGGCAGGCTCCAGGTCTGTGATTTATGGACAAACCACAAGCCAGGAATCTGCAATCTAAGCTCCTTGAGCAGCAACTGCTAAAAACATTATGGGAAGAAATGGCCACTGTTTCCAAAAGAAGAAAACTTGGGAGCCATTAATAATATTTAGCACTTCTGTGGTCCCTCACAATTGTTGATTAATCCTCCTGCTCTCCCTGTGAAGTGAGTCAGAATTATTCTTACTGTACAAATAAGGTCTGCATGGAGCTGAAATAAATTTCCTTTAAGAGACACAGTGAATCTGCATTAAGGACACAGTCCAAGACTCCAGAACCCCAGCACAAAATGAAACAGAGGCATAAAGACAAGTACCTGCTGGGTTTGGATGAGGCAGTAAACAAACTTAGAGCACCTTCGAGGGACTCTCTGCCTTTCATCAGAAGATTCTTACCCAGGCAGTTCTGGGTCTGCCCAAACCTTATCCCTAGGTATAAAAATTCCTGGGATTTCAGAGAATCTCTGGAAGTTTGGCTGCTTACTGGAATTATCCTCTACAAAGTCCTTTCCAGCTGTTTGTCTCCCTTATTGTTTGGGAAGAAGAGGATGGCATACTAAATCTATCTTGCCACCTGCCCAGAACTGCTCACCTCCTGATGCTTCTGGAGTGGGTTAAACGTGGGTTTTCCTTTTCTTTCATCAGCAGGAAGCTTTTCTTCCAGGAAAAAAAAAAGTCATTTATTCTCCACCTGCTCTCAGAACCATCTTTTGTTTCTCCTTCACCTCCCCCTTTACACTTCACCTCCATCTTCTCTGGGACATTTTGTGGCCAACGCTGTGATTCAACACAGCCCAGGCCAGGAGGGAAGTTTCTCTGCCTGGACACTCATGTTCCCGTTCTCCCAGGACACAAAGGTGCTCCTTGTTGCCGGAGCTCCTTCTAGCAAGATTTCCATCTCAAATCACAAGGCCCTTCCCATTGCACTCCTCCTGGAATCAGTCTGGCATGTGAACAGGTGGGAATGGGTGAAGTCTGCCATAAGTCCTGGCTGAAATGGAAGAGCTGGCAGGAGCACAAGGACCAAAAGCTTCAGTAAGTAAATTTGTTCAGACTCCTGATGGTCTCATTGTTAATCCATTTACAGCAGCAGGAAGGATGAAAAATTGGGGGAAAAAGCAGAGTTTCCCCCGCTTTTTAAATGTGAGTGGCAAAAGGTGTTGTAATGAATTGTCCATTAAATATCCATCCAATGTTATTCCAAATGTCATGACATGACCTGCAGGGGATTTGGGATCAGTTAACAAAGGAGTCTGAGGAGCCAAGCAAAGCTTGTTCTCCTTTTGCAACCCAAGAAAACAAGAGGTAACTGGGTCTAAAACCCAGACCAGAAGTAAATCAGCAAGTCAATCCTTCATGGAACTGTCCCACATTAAATCATTAGAAAATCAAGAAGTTGGAGCTGTGTCAGGAGATAGAGGGAGATTCAACTGGAGTTTTGTCTCACTGGTGCATCTTGATTATTGGACCTGTTCTGTCTCAAGTGCTTTAGCAGATAGGTTAAAAAACAAGTGTTCAAAGCTGCCTTGCAGCATGCTGCGAGAAATCAAAGGACAGGGACTAGGTTTTTCAGTTGGGGAATTGTATTTTTACTGTGTTTAGAGATCCTTTAATGCCCAGTGTCCTTACTGAATGATGCTGATTCTCCTTGGAAATGGGCACTTCACTGCCCAGGAGAACAAGATGAATTTTGGGTTATACCACTTGAACTTCTGCCCTGTGACTTACTGAATGGGAACATGCTTACAAGAGGAGATGAATATAGTGGCCTGTACCATCCCAAAATTCCCACTTTACCCTAAAGCAAACCAAACCACTTTTGAGGAAAGTGCTGCCTTCTTGCTTGTTTGGCTCTTTCAAGACATTGTTCTGAGTACTGTGCTGAGCTCTGTCATCCAGCATGGCCAAAGTCCATGAGAAGGAAATTAACACAATAAATTAATGCAAACCCAAACTCTCCTCACTGGAATTGGCCTCTGTGGCTGCTTCTCTGATCACTGCTGACCTGGATTGATCAATTTGTATGGAAAAGCTTTAAAAATTAAGCTGGAGCTGCCAAAGAGCCACCAGTGTTACAAGTCCTAACAGAGACCAGGGGATCTGCCCTGAGAGAGAGAGCAAAGAGAAAGTGAAATACAAATGCTGACTGCAGCACACTGGGGATAAATATGAACATTATACAGAATACATCATTTGTGTATTCATAGATCTGCAGATAATCACATTTACTATAAATCCCATGGCATGGGGAATCCAAGCAGTTACTTTAAAAACCTTTTAATGTCACCTAATCGTGTTCACAAGTCCCATAATCGTTGTTTTCTGCAGAGACAACCCAAAACCACAGCGTGACAGCAAATTTCCTGCCTCTCACAGCGTGGATCCCAAGTGTTGCTGCTTCAGGGACCTGCCTGCACCCACACAGTTGTAACTCAGGGGTGAGTACACTTTAAATTAAGCCAAGATTTTCCTGCTGGAGTCTGAAGCACTGGGGCCCTGAGCCATATCTGACACAGAGCAGCTCCCTGCTGGGGAGGGAACGAGAATGAGTCAAAAATTGCTTGTGGAAGTCCAGTAGGTCTACGTGGAGAGCCAGACAGCCTGCCTCTGATCAGCTGCCTGATTTTGGGAGGGCTGCTTCTCCTCTCTGTGCCTGTCACTGTGGCTGTGTCCTCTGATGTTGGGAACAAACAGTGACTGGAAAACCACACCCTTGTTGTCTTTAGGAATGGTCAGAGGCCTTGAAATGCCCTGTGAAAGAGATACCTGTTTGGCAGCCAGGGTGAACCAGTAAGTGTTGGTGCTTTTGGATCCACCTTCATCGGGAATGCCACAATTCCTCTGGCTTTTGAGTGCTTCTGAGTTCAGTTTAGGGCCTTGTGCAGCCAGATGCTCCTGTGCCTGGGCTTGGTCGTGCCTCAGTACGTAACTGGAGTATTTTCAGTCTGTTTGTGCAACGGGCACTTGCAAGTCCTTGCAGGATTTTCTTCAGAGGGTTCCTAATTCCCATCAGTGCAGCAACTTGAGAAAGAACTTGAATAAACCAGCAGAAGTGTTGAAAGACACAAACCAAAGGATTTCTTCACATCAGTTTCGAGTCCTTGTACTGACGGGGGTAAATCTCCTGATGGGATTCCTTGCAGAAAATACACCCCTCAGTCCTGCCAAAACAACCATTTTTTTTGCTTAAAACTCAAGGTTTTCCAGCTAAAATTGTTTGAATGGGTTAAAAGTTAAATTTCTTTGCTGGAAGTGAAAACTCACAAGTGCCTCGGGAGCTTGGAAACCTTATAGTAAAAAAAAATATCTACAACTTTTAAAATTGAATGAACAATGTTTCAAAAAGAAACAGCGCCTGTTTCTTTTGGTAATGTTAAATTACGGATAGAGATATAATTATAGGAAAATGTTTATGTGTAAAGGAGACATTCTATTGCTCACCATTAGAACTGATTTGTAGTTGTTAGTGAAGTGTCTGCCTTGATGTTTATGAAGCTCTGGTGTGTTCCATGTGCCACTAAACCTCTTCCCTCTGCTGCATCTTGGCCTGTTGAGAAGTCTTGCCCAGGAGGGATTTTGGTTCTTGCCACAGCTAGACCAAGCATTGAGAAAGAAATTCGGATTTCAACACAAATCACACATTCGAAATGCAAATCCAGTGTATGAGCACCCCAACCCCCACTGCACCTCAGGTGATTTTATACCTGCAGACCTTTGGCCACAATTAACTGATGATCTGGAGGAAGTTATTGTTGATCCTGACTCCAAGGTAAGACTCAGTATGAGGACTTTGAGCCAGAGCTGAACGTAGCGGGAAAAAAGGCTCAAGTTTTCCTGTCCGACTCCAAGGATTAAAGTACAAAATAAAAAGGCAATGTCATTCTTTTGACAGATAAGCTTGGGGAAAGCTTGAGCTACGTAACTGCTCACCTTGAAATTCCAGTATTTCCATAAATTTCCGTATGAGCAGCACAATAGCCATTATAACCCCAAAACATCACAGTTGTAACGGGCTGCAGCTGCACAGGTGTGCCTGACGTTTCACATGTGAAGACTTCATATATTAGAATTCCTTAAAAACACGAACAAGGAATACTACGCCGTGTGCTTTCCCCTTCGCCGGTGTTCGTCCCGGACTGGCCATTCACCTCGGCGACAGCCGGAGCCGAGGCCCTAACCAGCCGCTCCCCGGTTTGACTGGACATCACCGCCCTAGGCCGGGGCCGTGAGGCGGCCGGGCCGCCACCGCTTTCCGCGGCGTGCGGCTGCCCCCGGTGGCCGCCGGGCCGGGTTCGCCTCAGCAGGCGCCGGGCCGTTCTCCCGGAGGGCGAGAGCGGGATGGGGACGGGACGGGAGAAGCCACCGCCGGCCTCGTGAGGGGAACGAGAAGAGGGGAGCGAGAAGAGAGCAGCGTGTGGGGAGGGGGAGGCGGTCTCCATGGTAACCGCTGGCGGGAAGCCCGTGCGCACGCGCGGGCAGGGTGAGGCCCTGTCAGCGCCCCTCCGGCCCGGCCTGCGCATGCGCGCCGCGCGCGCGGCGGGACTACCGACACGGTTGGCGCCCCCGCGCATGCGCTCCGGCGGCGCACCGGGGGCTCCCCGGGCCCTGGCGGCAGGGTACGGGGAGGGCCGGCAGCCCCAGGGCGAGGCGGACAGGTCGGTCGGCTGCGGGGCGGGGCGAGACGGAAAGGGACGGGACGGGACAGGACGGGACGGGCGGGCGGGGAGCGCTCAGAGCGGAGCGCGGGCGGGTGGGGTGACGTCATGACGCCTGCGCCGTCAGCGCGGCGTGGCGCCACCTGGCGGCGGGGAGGCGGTGCCGCGGGACTGGCATGGCCCTGGGTGACGTCAGCGGTGTGACGTCAAGTACATGACGTCATCTGTGCGGCGTCACCCCGTGCTGGTTCAGGGGGATGACGAGCCCGGACCTGGGGAGGAAGCTCCTTCCCAGGTGTTAACGTGGCATTGAAGGCCAAAATTCAGGGATAGAGCAGAGGCAGAGCCGTTAAGCGCAAGGAGACCTGTGTGTCAGGGGATGCCAGCGGGCACTGGCAGCTGGCAGGGTTCACTGAAAACGTAGTTTAACGTGTCCAGCCTCAAAGCAAATTTCTTTCAAGCAGTGTTACCAGGGAAAGCAGTTCTGGGGGTCTGAAGCAACGTGGAATTTCATCTTTTGCTTCCAGGCTCAGGGGCACAAGGAACTGCGTATCCAGAAGGCTGGAGAGGGACTTTGGAGAAGGGCCTGGAGTGACAGGACAAGGGGAATGGCTTCCCACTGCCAGAGGGCAGGGTTAGATGGGATCTTGGGAAGGAATTCTTCCCTGTGAGGGTGGGGAGGCCCTGGCACAGGTTGCCCAGAGAAGCTGCCCCATCACTATGGCATCTCTGGAAGTGTCCAAGGCCAGGTTGGACAGGGCTTGGAGCAACCTGGGCTAGTGGAAGGTGTCCCTGCCCATGGCAGGGGGTGGAATGAGATGATCCTCAAGGTCCCTTCCACCCCAAACCATTTTATGGTATTGTGATATGGGCCTACCTTGAAGGGAGACAGTTTCAGCTACTTTCCTGACAACACTTTGTCCCTGACTCTGCAGACACACAAGGTACTCCTTGTCACCCTTCTGGTTTTAAATAAAGCTCTAATTACAGCTGAGTAAAATCATTTATCATTTTTACTGCCCAGTTTGACTCTAGTAAAGCCCAAAGCTCAGTCCATTGTCTCTGTATAAACTCTCAAAAATCACAGACTGGGTACAGCCCTTTTTGATGACAGAAAAGACCCTTGTGTGGGTGGCTTTTGTATCTGCTTAAAGTCCTCTTCTTCATCTCCCTCCTGGTCCCTCCTCTCCCCTTAGATTTTGGTGTTTGGATTAAAACAGCTTTCTGGGTACCAGTGTCAGAGGCAGACTGGAAACAGAAAGGGAAAGAATTGTTGCCATCAGCTTTGCATTTGGAAACTTTGGGCCTTGAGTTCTTTTGAACCTTTGCTTTTCCCACTGGGTCAATTTTAATTACACTTTTTTTCAAAGAAACTGTCAAACAGTAGAAAATAGGAATTTTAATAGGATATTTGAGATTACTGTGTGCTGTTGAAGCTCAGGCTGTGCTTTGGCTGTGGACAAGGCTCTTGCCCAGAGTTTTCTAGAAGGAATTTTCCTGAAAGCCAAACACAGAGGAACTGCCATGGTGGTCTGAGAGCTGATCCCCTGCTGTTACTGGAGCAGTATTTACACATTCCTGAGATCATTGGGGTGATGCCAGAGCTTCCCAGATCACTCACATCAAGGTAGCCACGTATCTGGATATGGAGAAGGTGAAGGAACTAAGTGAATAAAAGGAGAAGGTGTAAAATTGTGTTTTCATAAGACTAAACCAAGCCCGTTTGTGATGGACACCGGAGGATGGAGAACAGGAATGAGAGCGTGGAGACATCATAAAGCTACACATGCACAAAGCAGAGTGTTGTGTGGTTCACTGTGGCTTTTATATGTGATTTGAGATGAGGAGAGAGCAAGTAAGTAATTGGTATAGATTAATGAAACATTATTCTAAAAGATACTTCGTTAGATCACGTGTAGAAATCCGTGATGAGTTTGGTCATGTTTTTAAAGTGAGCATCTTCCTATTTTAGCGAATAGGGAAATCCAGATACTGGGTTAAACTTCACTTTATATTTGGCTCTTGTGACAATAAGCTTTGACATTTTCCTGCTACAGACATCCACATCATGGATTGCTCCATTCTTGATCTGAAAAAATGACAGGATTGATTGACATGGTCACAATTATCAGTGTTGGAGTGGAGTCAGACACCTGGGACAAGGCCACAATGTGGTTGGTTTGGAAAAATGATGGGCTGTCCAAGAGTTCCCTTCTCTGGATCATCAGACAGCTCAAGCCTGGTGGTTGGTGTCTCTCCCAACTCATTTCCTAATCTAAAATGCAGAAAAACAGGACAGGCAGAGAGTTAATCTCTGTGGGATGGTAATAGAAACACACATGCTCAATGACAGCTGTTTGCAGCTGCATTTTAATAATTTTAAATGCGTTTTATCGATTTTGTGGGATTTTAATTAATCATTTTGTCCCTTGATACTTCTTTAATGGTTTACAGAAGAATTACCCCCTTGATAACACAGAGCTCTCGTTAAGAAGGTATTAGCTGAGTGTAGGAGCTCTGGGTTTTCATAAACTGTCTTGGCTGGTCTTAATTTTATTATCCATCTTTATTCATCAATTCCCACCTAAGCCATTTCTTTAACAGCCTGGCATAGAGCTCTGTGTGCAAGATGAGTGTTTACTTCCCTAATTGTCCTTTTTGAAAAATCACAGTGACTTCTGCTAGCAAAGGATCCAATTCCTGTGACAGAAACACCTTCAGCATCTGCTTTTTGGTGTGTTTTGGATTGCTCCTAGAAAAGGCTGTTTGCAGCAACACCAGGGGATGGATATTATAGGAATATTCACAGGATTAACAGTTCCACAGTTTGATTTAGTGGCCCTGATAGGTTTTTCTTTTGGGTTTTGATGGACATCAGAAAGATCTTTTTTGAAAGTCCTTAACTTTTCTGGCCAGGTAATTTTACCTCCTGGCTTTAATACCCTTGATTGTTTATATTCATTGTTTATTTTCATTGTTTTTAATCGGTGCAATCCAATTCCATCACCATGATGTTATTTTACATCTTTGTTTTTATTATTACTCTGATTCCTTTTCTTCCCCTGAAAACCAGGTTAGTTTTTAATAACTATTGTTCTCTTTATTTTTGGGGGCCTCTACCGAAATGTTTTTATCGGGTCCTTAATCTCAATTGTATTTTTTTTTTGTTAAAATTAATAACTTGTTGTTTTTAGTCAAATCAGTTTGGTTTTTGCATCACCAGCTGCCCCTCTGGGTGATTTGGGTGCTGCTGTGTTTGCATACAACCACGAGCATTTGCACCTGAGCGACCGTTAGTGTTTATTTTTGGATTCGCTTCCCCTTTGTCCTTCCAGGGGAGGTGTAAAGTGAATTTCCCATTTTTGGGGACGTGCTGGTAGAGGGACATTTCGTTGTGTAAGTAGTGATTTAAATCCATGTCTGGGATGTGACTGTGAAATGCTTTGCCATTTGTACCAGGTGCTGGCAGGGGGAGGTGTAGCCTCGAGCAGGAGTGTGAGCGTGGCACTGATGGGATAACAGGTATGGAAGTGGGTGGTGCCAGGTAGACAGAGATCCTGGTCATTGCTGAAATTGCTCCTTGGAACCTGATTATGATTTTCCTACCTGTCATTTCCTTGCTTGTAGAGACTTGAGTTAATTTCTTATTCCCTGTTTTCCACATCTGGTTTTGTTATCCTGTTCTGGCACAGGAAAGCTAACAGAGACCTGGACAAGAGGGTTGTACCTGACTCTGGATTCCTGTTTTGCACTTATATTTGTTCTCTCCTCATAGAACAAGTTCTGCTGTCCTCAGTGTTAATTTATTTGCACTTCCACAACCACAGAGACCCTGCACTGTACAGATGCAGTGTCATGTCTTTAGAAAGTCGTGATAAAGGTGTTGGTTAATGCAGAAAACAGGCTCTACTGAAGAGTCCCTAAAAGGGTGGAGGATAATGTGCTTTTTCAGAAGTTACACTGTTGACATGTCAGTTCTTCTCCATCAGTAACCTGTAGGAAGACTTTTGTTACAGGATTTGGTCTGGAAGAATCTCCAGGGACCTCCTTCTGGTGTGGTTGCCAGAGCAAACACTGCAGAAATTCTTTCCCTGTGCTGTTTTTGCTCTGGCTTGATTGGAAGTTTTGCACCAGCCTTCAGATCTTTGGGCTGCAGCTTCCACAAAAGGAGAAGGGGGATAAAGCTTCCAGTGCCAACCCAGCATGGTGCATCCCATCATCCTGCTGCTGTCAGCACTCCCTAATTAGCAGCCTGGGGTCGTATAGGCTGTGGCAATTAGGTAATTTCTGAAGGCTGAGGTGATATCAGTCACTTTGATCCCATTCCTCGACTCTCCATTCAGTCCTGGCCAGCTTTTCAGGACTGCTAGGACCACTCCTATGTTGATCTTGCTGGTGTGGAAGCAGGAGAAGGTGGTCCTGATGAGCAGAGTGCCACCCTTCCTGCAGCAGCCCACTGTGCCTGGCACACAGGGAGAGCCCACTCCGTTTTCCTGCCTGCTGGAGCTGGAAACCTGCAGACTGAGCACCCAACTGGGAATGAATCCAGCTGGGCTGTTTCACTGGTGGAGCTGGGAGAGGGTCTGACTGCAGGACAGGGCAGTTTGTACTCTCACCACAGGGAAATGGTATGTATGGAAATCATGGAATCACAGACTGGTTTGGGTTGGAAGGGATGTTAAAGCCCATCTCATTCCACCCCCTGCCATGGGCAGGGACACCTTTCACTGGCCCAGGTTGCTCCAAGCCCCGTCCAACCTGGCCTTGGACACTTCCAGGGCTGGGGCAGCCACAGCTTCTCTGGGCAACCTGTGCCAGGGCCTCATCACCCTCATAGGGAAGAATTCCTTCCCAGTATCCCATCTGACCCTGCCCTCTGGCAGTAG